AACAATCTATGAGGGCTGGGAATGTGGCTTAGTGGTAGAGTGTTTGCCTTGCATGCATGAAAGCCCTAGGTTCCATTCCTTAGGACCACATACACAAACAACGCCAGAAGTGGTGTATGGCTCAAGTGGTAGAGTGCTATAGCCTTGAGCAAAAGAAGCTCAGGAACAGTGCTCAGGCCAGGCATCAGTGGCTCATACCTGTAATCCAAACTACTCAGGAAGCTGAGATCTGAGGATCTTGGTTTGAAGCCCCAGCAGAAAAGTCCCTGTGACGCTCTTATCTCCAATTAACCACTCAAGGAACAGAAGTGGTGCTGTGGCTCAAAGTGGTAGTGTTAGCCTTGAACACAGAGAGGCTCAGGGACAACAGCAGGCCTCGAGTTCCAGCCCCACAACCAAAACACACGTAAAAAGAATTTCACTCAGAAAAAAATACTTTATAGCCAGGCACTGGTGGCTCATACTTGTAATCCTAGCTACTCCAGAAGTAGAGATTTGAAGATAACAATTTCAAAGCTAGCCTGAGCAGAAAAGTCTATGAGACTCCTACTCTAATTAATCAGCTGGAATTAGAGGTGTGGTTAAAGTAGTTAAGCCATAGCTTGAGAAAAAAAAAAGCCAACCTAGAGCAGGAGACCCTGAATTCAAGCCCCAGTCCTGGCATGCACTCATGTGCATGCATGTGTGTGTGTGCACACACACACACACACACACACACACACAATTTCTCTACAAGGAATATCAGGTACCACTTGTGAATAGAACATATGTCTATTGTTTGTTTTGTATACAACTGCCAGATGCTGATGGCTCACATCTGTAATCATATCTATACAGAAGGTTGAGATCTGAGGATTGTGGTTCAAAGCCAGGAAAGTCTGTGAGACTTTTTGCCAATCCTAGGGCTTGAACTCTAGGCCTAGGCACTGTCCCTGAGCTTCTTTTTAATTTGAGCCACAGTGCCACTTGTAGTTTTTTCTGTTTATGTGGTACTAAGGAATCGAACCCAGGGCCTCATACATGCTAGGCAAGCACTCTACCACTGAGCCACATTCCTAACCCCTGTGAAAGACTCTTAACTCCATTTAGCTACCAAAAATTTGGAAGTGGTCAGGTGCCAGTGGCTCATGTCTATAATTCCAGCTACTCAGGAGGCTGAGATCTGAGGATCACAGTTTGAAGTCAGCTGGGGCAGAAAAGTCAATGAATTCTTATCTCCAATTAATCACAGAAAAAGCCAGAAGTGAGCAAAAAAAGCTAAAGGACAGCACTCCAGGTGCTGCATTCAAGCCCCAGGACCAACACACACACACACACACACACACACACAAGTGTGCAACCTTGACCAAGCTATTCTCATTTTTAAAATAAGGATTACAAACAACATGTATTCATATTCAAAACTTTTAAAAGATTTGGATGAATTAATATATAGAATAATTTAGCTTCTGGGCTGGGAAGGTGGCTCAGTGGTAGAGCGCTTGCCTTGCATGCCTGAGGCCCTGGGTTCGATTCCTCAGCACCACATAAGCAAAAAGAAAAAAGCCGGAAGTGGCGCCTTGGCTCAAGTGGTAGAGCGCTAGCCTTGAGTTGAAGAGCTGAGGGACAGCGCCCAGGCCCAGAGTTTAGGCTCCACGACCAGACCCCCCCCAAAAAAAAGAATAATTTAGCTTCTGTCAAATAACTATCACTTTCAAAAAGTGAGCTGTCAGTATTAAACTTAGAGAGAAGAGAGAGAAAGCAGCCTTTCTAGGCATTTTAAGACTTGCTTTTCAGCCAGGCACTGGAGGCTCACATCTGTAATCGCAAGCCAGGCTGGGCAGGAATGTTTTATCTCCAATTAACCACTAGAAAACCAGAAGTGGCACTGTGTCTGAAGTGGTAGAGTACATGCCTTGAGCTGAAGAGCTCAGGGACAGCGTCCAGGCCAGAGTTCAAGGCCCATGACTGACAAAAAAAAAAAAGTCTCACAGACTTTTCTACCCTAGCAGGATTTGAACCTTGATTCTCTGATTTTAGCTTCCTGAGTAGCTAGGAATACAAGTGTGAGCCACTGGCACCCTGCTGATTTTTTTTGTGTGTGTGGGGGGGGGTCTGGTCATGGGGCCTGAACTCTGGGCCTGGGCACTGTCCCTCAGCCCTTCAGCTCAAGGCTAGTGCTCTATCACTTGACCCACAGCACCACTTCAGGCTTTTTTTTTCTTTTTCTTTTTTTTTTTTTTAATTTAATTTAATTTTATTTGTGAACATACTGTACAGAGGAGTTACAGTTACATGGGCAGGATAATGTGTACATTTCTTACCAAGCATTGCAGCCTCCTCCTTTGTTTATCCTTCACATCCCTTCCCAGCCTCCCCCCTCCCCCCCTAATCCCAATCCTTCTCCTTCCTCCCTCCCCCCAGCCCCCCCCCCCCCCACCAACATTGTAAAGTTCGTTTTGGACATGACAACTTGTACTTCTCATTGTTGCAACAGGTCCACCTGTATCCTTAAACAACTGGTTTTTCCCCATCTCTTCCACAAGTTATACTGACATCAAATATAGTGAAAGCAAGGGTTATACTGTGGGGGAGGGACATACAAAGCAACAAAGAGATAATCTTATAAATGTGTTAGAAACACATGCATGAAAGAAAAAAACATTAAAATACACATCTAAGGGTTCATTTTCCTGACATCACATTATCTGACCTTTTCCGCTTGACTCATACATATACTAGATATTACAAATAAGGGAAACCATGGGACCTACGTTTCTTTGGGCCTGGCTTACTTCACTTAATATAATTTTTTCCAAGTTTTTCCATTTCCTAACAAATGGGGCAATGTCATTCTTTCTCAGGCTTTTTTTTTCTTTTTGCTTATGTAGTGCTGAGGAATCGAACCCAGGGCCTCAGGCATGCAAGGCAAGCGCTCTACCACTGAGCCACCTTCCCAGCCCTACCCTGCTGATTTTTAAAAAATCTATATACATTATTTCTTTCAGGGAAAAAACTATTCTGCTGGAAAAAAAAAATTCAGCTGGGTGCTGCAGGGTCTTGCAAGTCTTAGGGAGAATGAACAAGTGACAGAGTGGAGATAAAAATTTAGGACTTTGTGTCACTTGCAGATTCCACCTTCATACCAGCAGACATCTCTGCTCCTGGCACATAATTACAGAACAGTGAATGACTAAACTGTTGTATGCAAACAACTGTCAAATGTTTTTTCAAAGACATTTTCTTTTTCTTCCTTCCTTCTTTCCTTCCTTCCTTCCTTTCCTTCTTTCTTCCTTCCTTCCTTCCTTCCTTCCCTTCCTTCCTTCCTTCCTTCCTTCCTTCCTTCCTTCCTTCCTTCCTTCCTTCCTTCCTTCCTTCCTTCCTTCCTTCCTTTCTTTCTTTCTTTCTTTCTTTCTTCTTGCTTGCTTTCTTTCTTGCTTTCTCGACTGAAACTCTGGGCCTGGGCACTGTCAGGGCTGGGAATGTAGTAATGTGCTTGCCTACGATGCATGAAGCCCTGGGCTCAATTCCTCTGTACCACATAAACAGAAAAGGCCAGAAGTGGTGCTGTGGCTCAACTGATAGAGTGTTAGCCTTGAACAAAAGGAGCTTAGGTCAGTGCTCAGGCCTTAAGTTCAAGCTCCAGGACTGGCAAAATAATAATAATAACAATAATTAATTAAAATTAAAATAAATAAATTTAAGAAAAAGAAAATCATTCTCCAAAACATTTCTAACATAACTTTTTCAATGACAAGGGTAGTGTGGTTCTTTATGAGGAAGAAGGAAAAATAGAAGAAGAAGAAATAATCAGAGCAAGATCATGAGTGGTTCAAGTCTGTAATCCTAGCTACTCAGAAGGCTGAGATCTGAGGATTGAGGTTCGAAGGCAGCCCAGGCAGGAAAGTCCATGAGTCTCGTATCTTTCCAATTAACCATCAGAAAACTGGAAGTGGCACTGTGCCTCTAAGTGGTAGAGTGCTAGCCTTGAGCAAAAAGAGTTCAGGGACAGTGCCCAGGCCCCAAGTTCAAGCCCTACATACACATAAAAAGTATAAATCTCAGAAATGGATTAAATCAAATAGGGCCAGGCACTGGTGGCTCACATCTGTAATCCTAGGTACTCAAGAGGCTGAGATCTGAGGGTTGCAGTTTGAAGCCAGCCAGGGCAGAGAAGCACTGAGTTTCAGTCCCACAGCCAACCAAAAAGAAAAAGAAAAAAACCTTTGTATCATGGTAGATTGAAATGAACTATCCAGCTGCAACACTGCAGGAGATCATTCATTCATTCATGACTATCAGGCCAATTTCTCTTTTCTCTCCATAGAAATGGTTGAATCTCAGCTGAGTGCTGGTGGCTCACTCTTGTAATCCTAGCTACACAGGAGGCTGAGATCTGAGGATCACAGTTCAAAGCCACCTTGGACAAGAAGTTGTGAGACTCTTATCTCCAATTAACCACAAAAACCTGGAAGTGGAGGTGGGGCTCCAGTGGTAGAGTGCTTGCTTTGAGCTGAAGAGCTGAGGGACAGCGCCCAGGCCCAGAGTTCAGGCCCCACGACCAGACCCAAAAAAAAAAAAAAAAGAAAGAAAGAAAGAAAAGAGCCAACTACATAGCAGGAAGCTAAACAAAAGTCACAAAAAAAAAAAATAGCCTGGATCGGGGCTGGGAAGGTGGCTCAGTGGTACAGCGCTTGCCTTGCATGCCTGAGGCCCTGAGTTCCATTCCTCAGCACCACATAAGCAAAAAGAAAAAAAGCCGGAAGTGGCCCTGTGGCTCAAGTGGTAGAGCGCTAGCCTTGAGCTGAAGAGCTGAGGGACAGCGTTCACGCCCCATTACTGGACCTCCCCCCCAAAAAAAAAATAGCCTGGAACATTCAGTGGTAGAGTCTGTGCCCAAGCCCTCCCTGGATTTGATCTCCAGCACCACACTAAAATTAGGAGGTAGTTAAATAAATTGTCATGTCTCTATGATGAAAAATGTTGCCATTGTATTTTCTGAGATTTTAAAGAATGACCCAGGCCTCCGGGTGTTTACTACAGGCTGTGTTCTTACACTAACTATAAAGAAAGAGGAGGCAGAGTAAACCTATTCCATATACATCTCAGCCCAGGCCCTGTGCCTGGTCTGTATTGTGAATGAGGAAACATGGGAGAGAGGAAGAAAGAAAAAAAAAAAAGAAAGAACGAAAGAGGGGCTGGGAAGGTGGCTCAGTGGTAGAGCGCTTGCTTTGCATGCATGAGGCCCTGGGTTCGATTCCTCAGCATCACATAAGCAGAAAAAAGCCGGAAGTGGTGCTGTGGCTCAAGTGGTATGAGCTGAAGAGCTGAGGGACAGCGCCTAGACGCAGAGTTCAGCTCCTACAACCAAAAAAAAAAAAAAAGAAGAAGAAGAGGGGCTGGGAAGGTGGCTCAGTGGTAAAGTGCTTGCCTCACATGTATGAGGCCCTGAGTTCAATTCCTCAGCACCACATAAGCAGAAAAAGCAGGGAGAGGCGCTGTAGCTCAAGTGGCAGAGCGCTTGCCTTGAGCTGAAGAGCTCAGGAACAGCGCCCAGGCCCAGAGTTCAGGCCCCACGACTGACAAAAAAAAAAAAAAGATTGGCCCAATAGCTTTGATGCTGGAAGCTCATAGCTCATGTTCATAATCCTTGCTACTCAGGGGGCTTCCTGGGCAGGGAAGTCTGTGAGACTCTTATCTCCAATTAAAGGCTGAAAGTCAAGTTGTGGCTCAAGTAGTAAAGCACTAGACATGAGAAAAAAAGCTTTAGGACAGCATCCAGGCCCCAGGCCCTGAGTCAAGCCATAGGACCAGCAAACAAATGAATAAATAAATTTTAAATTTAAAAAAGGGCCCAGCATATTCTAGAACTCCTTGTCATTTCCTTCTTTCCTTATTCAGTAGATGGTAATTACTGAATCTGTAGAAAAGAAAAACACCTTTAAGAGAATAATGTAATAATATGTTATAGTTCTTTTTTTTTTTGGGGGGGGGGTCCAGTCGTGGGGCATGAACTCTGGGCCTGGGCGCTGTCCCTCAGCTCTTCAGCTCAAGGCTAGTGCTCTACCACTGAGCCACCTTCCCAGCCCATATGTTACAGTTCTTGCACAGCCAAGTTTATATTTAATTCAATTCTGAGATTTATATTTTTTAATGTGCATATGGAGCTTGACCTTGGGGCCTGTAATCCTAGCTATTCAGGAGTCTGAGATTTGGAGAATCACAGGTCAAAAACAGACTGTGTTCAAAGCTAGCACTCTACCATTTAGAGCCACAGTGCCACTTCTGGTGGTTAATTGAAGATAAGTCTCATGGACTCTCCTGCCTGGGCTGCCTTCAAACCTCAATCCTTAGATCTCAGCCTCCTGAGTAGCTAGGATTACAGGCCTGAACCATTCGTGCCCTGATCACTTCTTCTTCTTTTTCCCCCTTCTTCCTCATAAAAAACCACACTACCTTTGTCACTGAAAAAATTATGTCAGAAATGTTTTGGAGATTACTTTCTTACTTTCCTTTTACTTACTTATTTTTGTGGTACTGGGGCTCAATCCAGGTATTTTGCTCAAAGACAATGCCCAGGCCCAGAGTTCAAGCTGACAAAAAGGAAGAAAGAAAGAAAGAAAGAAAGAAAGGAAGGAAGGAAGGAAGGAAGAAAGAAAGAAAGAAAGAAAGAAAGAAAGAAAGAAAGAAAGAAAGAAAGAAAGAAAGAAAGAAAGAAAGAAAGAGGCAGGAAGAAAAGAAAGAAAAAGAAAAAGAAAATGTCTGTGAAAGAATATTTGACAGTTGGGCTGGGAATGTGGCTTAGTGGTAGAGTGCTTGCCTAGCATGCATGAAGCTCTGAGTTCACATGACCAGAAAAAGCTAGAAGTGGTGCTATGACTCAGTGGTAGAGTGCTAGTCTTGAGTAAAAGACGCTTAGGCACAGTGCCCAGGCCCTGAGTTCAAGCCCCATGCTGGCAAAAAAAAAAAACCAAAAAACATTTGACAACTGTTTCCATAGAGTACTTTAGTCTTTCACTGTTCTGTAATTATGTGCCAGGAGAAGAGATGTCTGCTGGTATGAAGGTGGAATCTGGAGGTGACACAAAGCCCTAACTTAAATTTTGATCTCAACTCTGTCACTTGTTCATTCTCCCTAAGACTTGCAAGACCCTGTTTTCTTGCACAGACCTGGCAAAGTCTCACACTGATGAGAACAGGGCCAATCATATGGATAATGCTATTTAACAAGTCTTTTAGAACCTTTATTTAATTTGTGTGTGTGTGGGAGGGATGTGCATGCATATGCTCCTGTGTCAATCCCAGGCTTGAACTCAGGGCATGAGAACTTTTTCTGAGCTTTTTGTTCAAGGCTGATGCTCTGTCACTTGAGACACAACTCCACTTTTGGTTTTTTGGTGGTTAATTGGAGATAAAAGTCTCAAAGACTTTCCTGTCTGGGCTGGCTTCAAACCACAGTCCTCAGATCTCGGCCTCTTGAGTAGCTAGGATTCTTGGCATGAGCCACTTATGCCTGACTTTTCATTTCAAGTTCTTTTGTCTTTCTCAGTTACTTACCTATTCTCAGAACAAGGTAATTTATAGATGGTAAAGTTAGGAAAGGAAAAGATTAAAAGTTGACCAAGGGGGATGGGAAGGTGGCTCAGTGGTAGAGCGCTTGCCTTGCATGCCTGAGGCCCTGGGTTCGATTCCTCAGCACCACATAAGCAAAAAGAAAAAAGCCAGAAGTGGTGCTGTGGCTCAAGTGGTAGAGCGCTAGCTTTGAGCTGAAGAGCTGAGGGACAGCGCCCAGGCCCAGAGTTCAGGCCCCACGAACAGACGCAAAAAAAATAAATAAATAAATAAATAAAAGTTGACCAAAGTCCTTTCAGCTGGATAGACATAAAATGAGAGCCAATGGATTACACTTGTAATCTTAGTTACTCAGGAGACAGAGAACTGAAGATCATGGTTCTAAACCAGCCCAGGAAGAAAAATCTCTTTTCTCCAGTTAATTAGCAAAAAGCCAGAAGTGAAGCTGTGAGATAAGTGGTATAGTGCCAGCCTTGAGCTGAAAAGCCAAGGAAAAGAGAGAGAGAGAGAGAGACCCTGAATTCAAGCCCCAGAAACATATCCAGAGTGTCCAGCCTGGAACACTCATCATTCTAGGAAAAATACACAAGGAACAAGAATTTGTGAAGAGCCCCCCACGAGCAAGCCCAGAGGCAGTACAGTCTCACATTCCATTATCTATTTTTAATGTTTGCTATTCATAGTCTTAAAAAAATAGACCTTGGATTTAAACTCGGGTCTCAGGTTTGTTAGACAGGTATGCTTCCATAAGCCACATCCTCTTAGAAAATTGCTTTCTTTTTTTATTTCAATACTGGGAGTTGAACTCAGAGCCTTACACTGGCTAAGCATATTCTTTCCTAACTCTCTTCACACGTGGTGCTAGTGTGAGTTCCAGGAGGCAGTCATTAAGGGAGAATGAGGCTGGCTGCCTCAACACCAGACAATACCTCATGCAAGCCTTCTGAAGATGAGTAGACACAAAAAAAACAGTTCACTTCTAAACAAGGAACTTTCTACTTCTTCTCTCCAGGAACATCCAATTCACCCATGGTTTGCCAAAATCCTATGTAGTTTGCAGAGGTGTGGCAATTTCTCTGGTCTCTTGGTGGTATTAAGTTGGTATTTTGTCATGTTTTCTGTTGTGCTTATCTGACATCTGGTCATTGTCCACAATGTACTTTTTTTCGGGGAATGGGGGTGCCAGTTGTCGGGGTTGAACTCAGGGACTGGGTGCTATCCCTGACCTTCTTGATGTTCAAGGCTAGCTTTCTACCACTTGAGCCACATCTCCACTTCTGAACAATGTACTCTTGGTAATAGTTACTTCAGGGGCAGGGAAAGTGGCTCCGTGGTAGAATGCTTGCTTTGCATGTATGAGGCCATGGGTTCGATTCCTCAGCACCACATAAGTAGAAAAGGCCAGAAGTGGTGCAGTGGCTCAAGTAGTAGAGCACTAGCCTTGAGCTGAAGAGCTGAGGGACAGTGCCCAGGCCCAGAGTTCAGGCCCCACAACTGACCAAAAAAAAAAAAATTACTTCATTACAGGTTTTTATTTCCCCCACGGAAGCAACTAATTAACATTCTATCAGTTCTTTACTTAGGAGATTACTGGTGGCTTTTTTTTGGGGGGGCGGGGGGGGGGGAAGGTCCGGTCTTGGGGCCTGAACTCTGGGCCTAGGCACTGTCCCTCAGCTCTTCAGCTCAAGGCTAGTGCTCTGCCACTTGAACCACAACACCACTTCCGACTTTTTTCTTTTTGTTTATGTGGTGCTGAGGAATCAAACCCAGGGCTTCATGAATGCAAGGCAAGCACTCTACCACTGAGCCACCTTCCCAGCCCCTACTGGTGGCTTTTATATCAAAGGCTTTTCCCCCTAGAGGCCTGCCAACTTTATACTAAAAATTATGACAACTTGTTATAGTCTTTATTTTTCTGCAGGGTTCAACTCACATAGACCAGCAAATATTAGGAAAGAAACACACATACTGTTGTGAATATAAAAATGAAGCTATGTAATTTATATTTGCCTGTGCCTCAATAAAAACTTCCATTAGTTAAACCATAATTCAGTTTAAAAACCTGTGGAGGGCTGGGAAGGTGGCTCAGTGGTAGAGTGTTTGCCTCGCATGCATGAGGCCCTGGGTTCGATTCCTCAGCACCACATACACAGAAAAAGCCAGAAATGGCACTGTGGCTCAAGTGGTAGAGCATTAACCTGGAGCTGAAGAGCTCAGGGACAGTGCCCAGGCCCAGAGTTCAAGCCCCATGACCAACAAAAAACCCCAAAACAAATAAAATCTAAAACAAAACAAAGTAAGATCTTATTACTGACATCCTTTAGGGTATTATTTTAAAAAAAAAACCCGTGGATTACAAGTATTTTTAACTGATATTCTGCAAAAAATGATGAAAATATCCTGGAGAACAATTTCTGTTTTCACATTGTATTATATGGCCCTACTCATTCAATTTCTCAATAAGGGATGCAAATGCCTGGTGAAAGACTTCAGTTGTGCAGAACACCAATGGGTCACATCCATAATCCTAGCTACTCAGGAGTCTGAGATCTAGAGGATCACAGATCAAAGACACCTGTGA